AAAAAAAAAAATACAAATCACCAGAATCAAAAACACACGAGATCGAACAGCAGCACATTATTGTGCGAAACTAACAACTTCCAAAATTCTTTTCACTTTTGGATTGAAATACACAAACATACACTTACAAATACGATGCAAAAGTCGAAATGGACAAAAGAAATTCTTCCAGAAAACGAAAGCACAGAAAATTTGAAAGCAATAAGAAAAAAGAAAGCTCAAAAAAAATTCACCAGAAGTTATTTTTCATCAAAGAATCATAAAACCGTGGATGGCAGAATCATTAAAAATTTTCCCGCAATAACTTTTATCTTGGTTGAATCTGTGGTATAAATTCCTCATCGGCTACGTTCTTTGTGAGCTTTCCCGAGATGGTATTTCATAGACTAAACTAAGGAAAATGTTTGGGACTCAATTTTTCAACTCCTATACAAAGGCATATTTCCAAGAATACCAAGACTGCAGGGCAATCAGTGTGTGGTATACCATGTCTGGCTTCCAAAGTTTCAGCTTTGTAGCTTTTGTAGGTCTTGAGATGAAAAATCGGAACAGACGAACACACACACACAGACAACCCCCTGACTGGAGTGCTTGCACATACTGAGCGAAGCTCTATCAAGCCCTTCGATCCTGAACTGCACGGAAACTGAAATTTTAAGAGGAGCAACAACCCATACATGCACGAGAGAAAGCAAATAAGCACTATGAACTTGGAATTAAACGAGCAGTATCTTCGGATGGCTGTCGACTAAGTGCAGCACTTGGACGACGAAAAAAACGCGTATTTGTGGATGGCACCTTCGGCAATGATGAGTTTACAAATAATGCAAGTAATACCATCAATGATCCAAAGAAAAACGGCGGTCCCGGGATTAGTTTCTGAAATTCACCAAATCGATAACCAGCATAATCATTAATTATTAAAAAAAAACAACAGTACGATTTACGATGAAACAGAAGGAAGCAGGATCGAAGAATGAAGGGACCATTGGCGGATCCGGGAGGGGCGATGGGTTTTTCGTCCCCCCCCCCCCCCCCCCCCCCCCCC